GCCCACCTGGGCTATATGAGACCCTACCTTAAACAAAAATCCATGTTAATACCCAAAAAGTAGTTAAATGTAAATAAATGCAACTGAGGGGATGGAGTTAACTCCAATAGAATAGTCAAAGAAGGCCTGTCAGAGGCAGGGACATCTGGCTGGGAAACTGAATGAAGTTGGGGGGAGTTGGGGGGAGTCGAGTGACATGAGTACCACAGGCATAGGGACACCTTAAGTGTACAAAAAACCAGGAGAATCAGAAATTCAAGGTCATCCTTGGCTACATAGCAATTTAGAGGCCAACCTGGGCTATATGAGACCCTACCTTAAACAAAAATCCATGTTAATACCCAAAAAGTAGTTAAATGTAAATAAATGCAACTGAGGGGATGGAGTTAACTCCAATAGAATAGTCAAAGAAGGCCTGTCAGAGGCAGGGACATCTGGCTGGGAAACTGAATGAAGTTGGGGGGAGTCGAGTGACATGAGTACCACAGGCATAGGGGACACCCTTAAGTGTCGAAACCCTGGGAACATGTCCATAGGAACAGCAAAGATGCTCAGTGAGAACTCAATGCTGTTCAGTGGCATAGCAGCAGAAGAGGGTAACAAGGAAGAAAGAGAAGGAGCACCCACATGATCAGAACGTAGCCATCAACAAGAAGAACCCTAGGAGATGAGATCAGAGACAGGTGCAGGCTAGATCCTCTCGGGCCTTGGAATTGAGGCAAAAGTTTTGGTTTTGTTGAGTTTTGTAGGGAGTGCACTCACAGGCAGCAGTATGGAGTTTTATGTAGCAGAGTTTTTTGATATGCTTTAACGTCTGTCTGTCTCACAAGCAGTGTTGGATGGAAGGTCAATGTAGAATACTTGTCATGTGATTTCATATAGGTCTGTACTATCAGCAATCAGCAGCTATGAGTGTACATTTTGGGGCTTCAGGCCTTCTTTTTTCCAGTGGGGGAATTTGAGCAGCAGGATCTTCTTCTACTGCAGTCTTGGACTGGGTTTTTTGAGGAGTGGTCCTTTTTGTCCTGGGTGCTGGGATTACAGGCACACACCATGCATGCTTTTCTTCCTCTCTTTCTTTCTTTCTTCATTCCTTCCTTCCTTCTTTCCTTTCTTTTGTTTTATTTATTTATTTTTATTTTGAAACAGGGTCTCTCTATGTAGCCCTGGCTGTCCTAGAACTTACTATATAGATCAGGCTGTCCTTGAACTCAGAGATTTTCATGCCTCTGCCTCCTGAGTGATGGGATTAAAGGGGTGTAGCCCATGCCCAGCCTCGTGCCTGGCTTTCATTGCTAGTGTTTGAAGCCAAGGCCTGCACAAGCTAAACAAACATTCTATCACTAATCAACACACTTTACCTAATGGTCTATTTCTTTTATATTTCCTTTTGTTTATATAAAAGCAGGATTGGGGGGGGTTGGAGAGATGAGATGGCTCAGAGGTTAAAAGCACTGACTGTTCTTCCACAGGTCCTGAGTTCAATTCCCAGGTAACCACATGGTGGCTGACAACCATTCCTTATGAGATCTGGTGCCCTCTTCTGGTGTGCAGATATATTTGGAAGCAGAATGTTGTATACATAATAAATAAATAAAAGCTTTAAAAAAGAAAAAAACAAAACAAACAACAACAACAACAAAAACACAGAGTTTTGTAGCCCTGGTGGGCTGGAAACTAGATATGTAGACCAGGATGGCTTCAAACTTGGGACAGTCTCCCTGCCTCTGCCTCCTGAATGTTGAGATTACAGGCTTTTTTC